TTCATTCAGATCTTCAGAGGAGGGAAGACCCACCTTTAATTTGGGCCACACCTGCCGGAAGCCTAACTAAAAGACACAGAAGGAGGAAGCTTACTCTTTTCATTTGCTTGCTCTCCCTCTCCCTGGGAAGTTCATTCCTTCACTGGCATTAGAGTCTGCTTCTTTGGTATTCTGAAGACTAAATAACATGTCAGCCTTGTAGATTGAACAGCTACTAGATTCTTGGACCTTTCGTTGGTAGACAGCCAATGTTAGGCTAGCTGCACCACAGTCTGTAAGCCATTCTAATAAATCCCAAATGTATATGAGATACACACACACACACACACATCCATCGCATATTCATTCTCTGAGTTCTGCCAAAGGAATTAATCCAAAACTCTTAACTTTAGCCTCAGGCAGATTTTTCAGACAAGGGCAAAAGGCAGCCACATTCTTCAGCAAAATATCACAGGAATGATCTCTAGGCAACATAACTAAAATTCACTGAAACCTTCTGATCCAGCCCCACACAGTTCAAATAATTCTAAGCACCATTGTCTTCCATGTTCCTACTAGTATGGCCCATTAAGCAGCTGTCTTCAAACACTTCAGAGATCTACATAATATGGCATTAATGAAGTTTTAATAACATAAAGGTTTTCATGGCAGAGATATGTCCACTCCTGGCAGCACTAATCTACCTTAAAAAAAGGGGGGAGATGGGCATTAGAAAAACCTCCATATGGGATTTGCTTCCAATGTGGCAAATCGAATAGATTTGAATAAATGGGCAAGAAACTGCCCTTGCCTCGACTGTTGTGGTATACTGTCCAAATTGGACAGGCAGGACACAAAAGGAGGCAACTGCCAAACTTGCCAAACTTTGGCAAGACATGGAAGGGCAGGCAGTCCTTCAAAATTCTGACTTCACAGAAAAGTCTGTCAGATATTCTAGGCCTGTAGGCAGAAAATGGATGCCCCAACATTGCAGAGGAACCTTGGGTGACTGTGCAAATGGTCATACATTTTTGGAAGTTGTTTGCTCTGTACTTTCTGTTTGCTCAAGTAATAATTGTATCTTTCTCAGTCCTCTGATGGGGTTGACAACTAGATAGTTATAGTTACAGTTTTCCTTGTTACCAGGTTCAATAAAACAAAAAACAAACTCAAAAAAGAGATGTAAAATATGTAAGATTGAGAGACATAAAAGCTTAAGTTGTTTATAAAGATGTTTTAAGGACTAAAACGAAATTTCTAGGTTGGTAATACAAATTATAATAGCAAGTGAATTAGGTAAAAAAACTTTGGACTCACCAAGATAATATAGATAATAGAGTATTTTCTTCAAAATTGCCAAATACAAATGGACTGGACATCGTGAACTTAATTCTTAATGATAATTGTTTTTATTATATATAATTTTACTGTGTAACAGTTAAATACTTTCCTTTTGCCAGGGTTGTTTTTTGAAACAGAGTTTCTCTGTGGCTTTGGAGGCTGTCCTGGAACTAGCTCTTGTAGACCAGGCTGGTCTCGAACTCACAGAGATCCGCCTGCCTTTGCCTCCCAAGTGCTGGGATTAAAGGTGTGCTCCACCACCACCTGGCAACACTTTCCTTTTTATTTAGACAAAAGGGGGAGATGTTGAATAATAGTTGTTTACACTGTGTGAAGATGTGTCACGGTGATTGGTTTAATAAAGAGCTCAATGGCTAATAGGTAGGCAGGAGAGAATAGGCAGGACTTCCTGGCAGGGAGAGGAATTTGGGATAAATCTAGGCATTCGAGAGATACCAGTGAAACACTGAATAAGTTGGACTTATGGTACAAAGGAGAAATAGCCAAGCGAAGTGGCAGAATGTAGATTGATAGAAACAGGTTAATTTAAGTTAAAAGAGCTAGTTGGGGAAAAGCCAAAGCTAAGGCCAAGCTTTCATAATTAATAGTAAGTCTCTGTGTTGTTATTTGTGAGCTGGTGGCCTAAAGAGCACTTAAAGCATTCCACTGCTTTTCTAATCCACTGTTCCAAAGTCCATATTCATTCAAACAAAAGTGTGGTCTAGCCTATCACAGCAATACCCCACTCCTGGTACAAACTTCTGTCTTAGTTAGGGTTTCCAATGCTGTGAAGCGACACCATGACCATTGTAACTCTTATAAAGAAAAACATTTCATTGAAGTGGAGGCTTATAGACATTTAGTCAATTATCAATGCTGGAGCTGGAGCTGAGAGTTTAACATCTTGATATGCAGGCAGCAGAAAGTAAACTGTCTCACTAGGTATGGCTTGAGCATATATGAGACCTCAAAACCTGTCTCCAACATGATATACTTCCTCCAACAAGGCCACAGCGCCTAATAGTGCCACTCCATTGGGGGCCATTTTCTTTCAAACCACGACATCCACCAGTGTATAAAAAACATTATTTAACATGACCAAGTGGGATTTGCCCAGAATTGCAGGATCAGTTCAGCATTTCGCTGTATTAATAACAGAAAACACATGACCAACACAGGCACAGGAAAAGCATTCAGAAAGTCCAGAACTTACTCGTCAAGAGGGCTAGGAATGACTCAGGTGGTGGTGTTTGCTGCAAAAGCAAGCTAAGGATTTGGTCATTGAGGCCAAATGTGGCTTGTGCTCATAATCAAATTCTGGGGAGACAGAGACAGGATGGTCCTTGGCACTTGCTGGCTAGCTAGTCTAGTGGAAAATGCAAGGTACAGGTTCAGTGAGAGAATCTGTCTCTAATAATAATAATGTGGAAAGTGATTTAGGAAGACACAAGATTTGAACCTCTAGCCTGGGCATGTATATGTATATGTATATACACACAAAAAAAATATTTAACAAAATAGAAATAGGAGGAAAGTCTTCAAACAGCTGTACATCTTCTATAAAAATGTCCCAGTTGATATCATGCTTACTGGTGGAAGTCTGAATGCTTTCCCTAAGAGAGGTCCTCTCTTGCTATTTCTGTTTAACCCTGTGCTGTCGATTCTGGCCAGGATAATTTGACAAGAAGCAAGAAATAAAAGATCTACATTGTGAGGTTTAAAAAGCAAAACTATCTGTTTGCAGATAATATAATCTTGTGTGTATAGAAAATCCTGAACAGTTCATTCAAAAGCTGTGAGGCTAATAATACACAGGCTTAATAAGGTTGTGGAACACAAGAAAACACATAAAGACATGTTGTTTGGGGCTGGAGTGATGGCTTAGTTGGTTAAGTGCCTCCCATAAAAGCCTGAGGACGCCGGGCGTTGGTGGCACACGCCTTTAATCCCAGCACTCGGGAGGCAGAGGCAGGAGGATCTCTGTGAGTTCGAGGCCAGCCTGGTCTCCAGAGTGAGTGCCAGGATAGGCTCCAAAGCTACACAGAGAAACCCTGTCTCAAAAAACAAAACAAAACAAAACAAGCCTGAGGACTTGATTTGAGTTCCTGCCATCCACATGAATGCCTGCGTACAATCCCGGCACTCCTAGGATGGAGACAAGGGATGCCTGGAGCAAGCTTGCTAACTAGACTAATCAAATCTGGGAGATCTAGGTGCAGTTAGAGACTACCTCAAGATACAAGGTGGAGAGCAGTCAGGGAAACTCCTGACATCAACCTCTGAGCTCTCTGTACACATAGGTGCATGTATGTCCAACACCAACACATATCAAATTCCTGAAGGAAAAAAAAAAAAAAAACAGTTGAGAGGCCCTATGTAGCATTTAGAGGGAAACTGTCTTTGTTAAGCATCTCTTCCCCCTGGTCCTTCACATGCCATGTTTGTCATGTTTATGTTTGTCTGTGGACACATCCATATAGAAATTGTCCCTACTTTCCAAATGTTCATTGTCTAGAGATGAAGCTCAGTCATATTTCTTTCTCTGGTAGATAGCCATCTTTACAAGCTTTTATTTCTTTTTCTTTTTGGTTTATTTTTAAAGGTTTTCTTTATTTTTTTATGCATATGTGAGGGCAAGCATGCTTGTAGGTCTGGGGACAAACTCAGGTATAGGTCCTTGTGTTCCACCTTGCTTGATACAGGATCTCTGTTGCTGCACAGACCAGCGATGCTGGCACTCAAGCTTCCAGAGGTTCTCCTGTTTCCACCTCCCATCTCTCCACAGGAACACTGGCCTTACAGATGTGCAACTGGCTTTATGTGGGTGCTGGGGATTTGAACTCAGGTCTTTGTGCTTGCACAGCAAGTGTTCTACTCACTGAACCATCTGCATAGTCTTCCCTTTTCTCACTTTTAACTCAGTCTGCTATAGTTCAGTTCAAATCCCCTGCCAAGAATTCATCTTACTTTCCATTAACCAGATTAACTCAATCCAATGTAATTCAGTTCAGTTGCACACCATTTGCTGAGTACTTGCTTTGGTATAGGGAAGGTGGAAACATGAAGACTGATGATTGAATGACAGCCCCCTGCTCTCCAGGAATTTGTAATCTAATGGGGAATTCTTGAAAGCACCTAACTGAGAGGAAGAAAATCCCTACAATATGTGGGATTTGAGGAACAAAGAGAAAGAGGGTTTGCTGTAGACTGGGCCAGTGCCTGGAAATGACAGACCAGGTCAGAAGCTGGCTTTAACAGGGGAAGGGTAATTGGCTGGACCATTGTCCCTTAGTATCTGTGAGGGCTTGGTTCCAGTTCACCTTAACACACTCCACAATGCCAATTTAAGGGGTTTGCAGTCCAGTGACCATTGTCACTGAATTCTTAGTTTAAAGAAAATCTAAAGGGATTGAAACTGTGAGATTTTAGAGACATCTGACTTGAAAGTCTGGTGTTAACAACTGTGATGGAGTGCACTGTGGAAGCAAAAAGCCACTGACACCCTTGAGAGCTGAAGGTCTGGAAGCAGACCCTCAGCCCAGCTTTGGGGTGGAGGTGGGGGGTTGGAACTGAAGTCCGCTCTTAAGTTGAATTTGAAGTTGGTTTCATGCCAGGAGAGGACAGAAATGCAGACAGCCATTATTTAACTGTTATCTCAGCCCAATAAAAGCTGATTAAGTGAGAGTTTCCTGACGCTCGGTTCTCTTGTGTATAAAATAGACTTGTTCTCCATCTTTAGGTTTAGAGGTTAGCATGCCAGGAATTAATTAACTTTGTAGTCATGTGAGAGAAAAAGTGGACCTGAAATGAGGACAAGAGGAGGATGAACTGCTGAAATGAGGACATGTCTTTGGAAGAAAGTAACAAAAAAAGCACGAGTAGATAAAGGATAAGAGAGGCTTGTAATGGGGAAATGACAGGAGGTGAAAGACTCATTTACAGAGACTGGCTCCAAATGCAAAAACGAGGAATGATGGAGGGAATGGAAAACTGCTGGCGCTGAAGCCCTGTCCAAACTGCATGTTAAAACTGCCCACATAATTCCCAGCTGCTGCATTTTCATATGCATTTCATACATTATTAGATGATACAACTTTTTGATTGAGTTAGTAATTATTCACCCTAGCATATTTTCAGTTCTTCGATGAGAAAGGGTTCCTTTAATAATTTTAAAGAAAGAAAAAAAAAACAGGTTGTGACAGTAACCATCTTTGGTGGGTTGAACACTATGAAAAAAACATTTGAACTGCAGATTATAAACTCAAAGTGGAATGAAGAGAATATATTCGTTGCCACTATCAAAAGAGAAAGAAAACCTATTGAACTTATATCTTAACTTTAAGATGTATGACTTTATACTTTATGTCTTTACAGGGCTCAGACTAATCTTTTAAAAGATGACTAATGAGGGAACAAGACAAGCGCATAATACATTTAACTCAGCTCATCATCTTTATCTTGCACAGTTGGCTGGGGAACAGACCAGGGAATTGGCGGATTCGGAGAGGAGCCAGGAATTAAATCTCAACTAATGAACCTTATTCGATCTGTAAGAACTGTGATGAGAGGTAAGAAGAAAACCTGTCAGGGCACTTTAAGTTACTATTTTGTGGCAGATTTAAGTACCAAAGCTTTTGAGAGTGAGAACCACTGGGTTCTCATTTGTGGTGGGAACTCTTCTTTAACCTAGATTTACTGCTTGAAGCTTGCTGGTCTCTTTTTACATTGCATCTGATTTCTAGAAGATGGAATGTTACTAGTGACTTCCACGTTGTAGAAATAAAGGTTCCGTATCTGCCATTGTATTGAAAAATACTTTGGAGCAATACTTCAATCAAGAAAGAGTGCAGATACCTTGTATTTAAACATTGAGATTAGAGACTTTTCATGTCGTAATCCTAACTTTGGATTCATTGTTAAAAAGTTTATTCTCCTTGATGGTACTGCAGAACCTTCTTTGCACTGTATTTCTGCTCAAATGTGCAGCCATGTAGTTCTGCCTGGTCCTCCTTGTTCCCATGTCTGCTCCAGCACCATCCAAAGATACCTTCATGCATGTAGACATGAAGTGTGGTAGTCCACATGTGTAATCCCAACCCTTGGGAGGCAGGGAAAGATTACTGCAAGCTCCAGGTCAGCCTGAGGTATAGAGGAAAATGTCTTAGGTTTTATAATAGTGTATTTTCCTATTGTTATTATTACTATTACAGTATGATTATGATGGCATATTTAGATACTTCCATCCTCCCTGGAAGCTACCTACTACTGTTTTTTTTTTTTTTTTTTCCTCTTTTTTTAGTAACAAACTTTTTCTTTTCTTTTTTTTTTTTTCAGTGCCGTTGATAATAGTAAACTCAGTTACTATTGTATTGCTTTTGTTATTTGGCTGAACATCATTGGGAAATCAGAGACTCAGAAGAAAGGCCCCAGAACTTACTATTGCCATCGTGACTGGAATATTCATGTTTTAGCAGGCTCATCTTGCAGTTGACAAAAAATGTAAAGTTGACAATAAAACCAGTTTTTATTTATCTGATTTTTTTTCAGTGTTGCACTTACAGTTTCAGTACAAAAAGATCAGATTGTCAGAGGCAGGAGTGCTGGATTGCACATACGTGTGTGTGGTTAAACTAGGTTGTTAATGGACTGCTGCCTCTGCCTTCTTACATGTTGTTCTGTCTCACAACTCAGGGATGGACTTCTCTCCAAAGTTTTGGAATCCCCTGTTATTTAGGTCTGACCTAACGGTAATTAACTTCCTGTGTAAACTTAAAGAGTTTTTTAAAGGAACAATTACATATGATTGACAAATTGGTAATTTGGGTAACTTATTCTGAGCTCTTTGCTTAACTAGTCTACATCATCTCTGCTATAAAGAAATTTATAGAGAAATACATGGAGCAATACCATTTCAGGGAGAATTCCAATTCTGTAAATCAGTTGTTTGGTAACTGTGGTTTTAAGTTCTTTTTATGCTGTTATTGGCCTGAATAAGGAGACCAGAGTATTTACATATTCTCATTGTTAGAAAGTCTTCCCTTTTTACAATGATGATTTGTTTGATAAAATCAGTATAACTGTTAGTTGGCAAATTTGGCTCATGTAATCACTAAGTAAGCTGTTGGAGCAGGCTGTTTATCATGAAATGTTCCCCTTCTCCCAGGTCATATTTCTTGGTGGAGTAGCATAGTAAAGGTACGATTCTTAATTGCTCATTCTGTCAGTAGACCACTTATTCTAGGTAACTTTTATTTTTTGTTTGTTTTGACGTCTTTTTTTTTTTAATGTCTTAGGCAACCTTGTGAAGTACTTTGCCCATCCCATAATACTATAGTACAGTTTTATATAGGAAGATTTAAACTGTGCAAATATTATGTGAAATGTTTCAGTTACAATGTTTTAAAGGGGTGGGGTGGCATCTTTCTGTACAGGAAAATTTTTATAAATAAAGTTGACTTTCCAACTCAAGCATTTGGTTTATGCCTTAGTATAAACCTAGCATTAATTTGTTGACCTCTGTTTTGTTCTTCACTGTAAAATTGCTGAATAGAGATATAATAAAATTTATTCTTATAATTCATTTATTTCTTAAGTGAATTAATTGAATTGCTGACATAAATCAAGAGGACCCTCAAATAGTTTTTTTATGGCTTAAGTTACTTCTAAAACTGGAGCAGGTGATGAAGACCTTCTGGTCATGTCTCAGTTGGAGAGGGTTGACCTTTTATTTGGATGCAAGGGCTGGCAGCTGGACAAGGAAAATGTGTTTAAATGCATGGCTACTAAGAGGAGCCAGCATACTTGGTACTAGGATGTTCCTCTGGCCTAAGAGTTATTTTCAAACATTGAAGAAATTGAGTCCAAGTTTGAGCCTCTTAATGAGACCTTTAAAAAGTGATCAATTCAGGGCATTCCTATTTCTACGTACTGAGTCATAATAAAATTTTCAGAAAAAGACTTTGGTCCTACCCATACTGTTCATATAAGACATATCAACACAACTTCCTATTAATTTAGACATTCACTCTACTGGCAGCCTGGCAGGCCCAGGGTACTCTGTAGTGAAGCAATTCTGAAAGCATGAAGCCCTGGCTCTGAAGGGATCAGCTCCTCATTTTGGCAGCCATAACAGTCGAACACGTGCTTGCCTGACCTTGTCTTAGTCACTAGGAAGTCAGATGCCTCATGGCAAGGAACCAATCATAAGTTAACTGGTGGTGCTACGCTTTACGGCTCTGGGTGTGCTTTACGGACAAGCGCACAGCAATGACGCGCAGAGCACAGCAACCACCCTGGGAGGGCCTGTGGGCCATAACAACCAGTCGACCAACCAACACAGGGCAACCCCTCCAAGCCTGGAGGCACACCAATCCTGAGCCTGTGCATACCCCTAGACACTCCCCTTATGCTGCCCTATAAGATCTCTATGCAGCTTGAGTTTTAGTTAATTCCAGATGTAGTCAAGGTAATATAACCAATAATAGCCATCACAGTTGTCATCTCAAGACTTTTGTCTTAAACACTGTTCTATCTGTGAGGAGACACAATGACCAACGCAACTCTTTGTAAAGAAAATATTTAATTGGAGGTTTGCTTACGGTTTCAGAGGGTCAGCCTGTTATAACCATGGTGCTGGCATGGTAGCTAAGAGCTTTACATCCTGATCCACAAGCCTCAGACAGAAAGAGAATCAGGGCCTGGCAGGCTTTTGAAACCTCAAAACCCACTCACCAGTGACAGACTTCATCCAAAAGGACACACATTCAAATCCCTTCCAAACAGTTCATCACCTGGGGACTAAGCTAGCAAACATGGGGGGAGGTGATTCTCATTGAAAACAGCACAGTGTCTGTGGAGTGTTGCAGATGACTGGTGCCGTCATAGGGTAAGTCAAGATGGCCTTTAGGTCTTTTTGCTCACAGCTGCCTGTTCCCCAGGGTCTTTGCTTGTTACAAAGTGAATGCGTGCAATAAGAATGGTTTAATACATGATGACCTCAACAGAATTCTCTGCCCCATTCCCCAAGGAGAGGTGAGTCTACCCTCTTCATCTCTATTGACTGCAACACTGGGTAGACATTACTAGATGGTGCTCTAATAGTATCTGGGTCAGCGTCAGAGCAGCAATATCGACAAGAGGTTCCGTATATGTAAGCTATCACAACACACTTCCTAAGAGCTAATTAATTTTCACGGTGTATTAATTGCTTTTCTGACTACTGTGACAAACACCTGACCAAAACAACTCACCGTGGATTTATTTTGGTTTAAGGATACAGCCCATCATAGTGGGGAAATGCATGGCAACAAAAACACGAGGCTACTGGACACATTCATCCACAAGATGCAGAGACAAATGTTGACGCTCAGGGGTTTCTCTCCAACACCTTTGTAATTACCCCAGGGCTTCGGTCTATGGACGGAGGATGGTACAGCCTACATTAAGAATGGGTCCTTCCCTTGGATAAGCTCTGCAAACACTTTTATAGACATGCCCAAAGGTGTGCCATTGGGTGATTTCAAACCTAGTCAACCTGACAAAATTAATCCTCACACATAGTGGACATATAAGGATGCCTATGCCTGCACTCAATTTATTTGAATAAAAAGGGGATAAGCAGTGAGTCCTTATGTGTGTAGAAAGGGGTGGTAAGGAAGACTGAGGCAAGTGGACCAAGATCTTCCTCTCCTAAAAACAGGTAAGGCCCATGGGAGCTCTCATGTAAGGAAAAGCGGGCCAGGAAAGCTGAAGGCACAATTTTGGATGGCGTGATGGGAAAATGTAGAGGCCTGAAGTTAACTGGAACACAAATAAACACCAACACTATTTAACTACCAAAACAAGAGACAAGGGGCATGGGGTGTTGAAGAATTACGAAAATGTCTGAAGCCTCTAAAACGACAAGAAACAGGGAAGCGAAGAGGGGAGGAGGCAATGTTTGTGCAATGGTGCTGCGATGCGGGGCTCTATCCTGAGCAATTACAGAAGTAACGGCTCCTTCGATCACCTGGGCTGCATAGGCTGCTCGGCCGCCTGCAAACCGGGGCCTCTTCCCTTTTGGAGGCGCACCCCGGGCGCGCGCGTGGAGTCGAGGGGGGGCTTCCGGGACATCGGTTCTCCTTCCGGATCAGATGCTGTGCATCGCGACGCATCGGCCTTTCTAGAGGACGCCGTGGCAGCGAGGGTGAGGAGGCCCGCGCAACCAAGAGGCGGAGGGCTAGGGAATGGCTGCCGCACCCCTGCCGGAGGCCTCATCTCCTGTGAGCGGGTTGGGGAAACGCCAGCGCCACCCTTGAGCTGCACAGCGCGGGCCGGGCCTCCCCACTGGTGACCGCCCCCCCCCCTCTGTGGCCCGCGCATGCGCAGAGCTGCTCCCCTAGGGTCTTCCCTGGCGTTGTCTGGGCTGTTTCCCAAGGCGGGTTGTTGTTATGTGGTTGTCATTTCTACTGTCCTGCGCCGTGTAGTGCTGACGCCAGCCTCCCCTGACCCTGGAACCCGAATTAGGACACAATGCGGGGGCCGAGGAGCCTTACCCCTGGGAGGTGGAAGCCATTGCCGTTGAGTTTGCAAAACTGAGGCCCTTGATCTTAGGTCTTGCCAGCTCATAGAGAAATGCCTGAGTTTAGTTGATTTAAGAGTCTCTTTTGAGCGTTCTCAGAGGAAAAGGCAACGGCCCTTCCACTTACAGAGCTCTACAGTTTAGTGGGAGATGCAAGCAGGGTGGGTTAAGGCTGGCAGACTTTATACTGTGGACACACAGTGTCCCAGAGAGAAGTTGAAGTTACCAGAGGAAATGATACCTGAGACTGAGCACTAGGGGAAGTGGCCAGAGGGAAGGAGACTGGTAAAGGATAGGGGCAGTTTTAGACAGACACCGATGAGGGAAGCAGAAGTCTTTGGCTGAGCAAGCTGCCAAGAACGTGGGGGTGGGAGTACCACTCTTCCATGTTTGGACTTTGGCTTGAGGGTATGGATTTCCTGCAGAAGACCTAATAGAATGGCTGGGTAAATAATAGTATCATTTATTGATGCGCACAGTGTTTTCCCAAAATGTTGGTAACTGTAAGAAAAGGGAAGCATTTTAATCCCTAGCATCCAGGTGGCATTATTGGAAAAAACTTGATGAGAATGATTTCTTTGAAATCTCATGTTTTACCTTATTTACACAGGCTTTTAAAATTATACACAACAAATACCATTGCTTTGGTAGTGTTCTCAAATTCCCAGCGCTTGCATCGTATTTGTCTTGGCGATTTTTTTTTTTTTTTTATATCCTAGTCCCATCATTATGTACTCTCTCTTCTCCTCAACCTCAGATACAGAACCCCACCTTTTCAAGTGTGGAGCACTATTCATGGTGTTCAATACTCTAAGCAGTGAAGAAACAGGCTAAGCAGCTACAGTGTCCCGAGTTCATGTAGGCAGGGTTCATACCCAGACATGTTCACCCTCCTTTGTTTTGTACTCAGCTGCTGCTCCTGCGTTCCAGGTTATGGTTTGGGATGGGACTAAGAGACGATTGGAAAGGAGGTTTGGATTTTCTTAAAATAGTTAAGAGGTGATATTAAAACTAAGGTAGTTTTAAAGATAAAGAGAAGTCAGACTGAAAACCAAAGGTGGTAGGACTAACTGGATTTAGCATCTGGGCAGCTGGTACTGCCTGTGGTTTACAGAGAAAAGAGCAGCTTCAGGTGAAGACTGAACTGGCCCAATGATTTTTTTTAGGGCAACTGCACTTGGCAGTATTTGGATCAGTCCCGCTTGGTATAAAAGTAAACAGGTGCTTTTCTTTTCACTGAACAGTTCCTATCACTCACTTATGAGGTTTTGTTTTGTTTATCTTCCCCTGGTGGTCCAGCTCTTTATAACTCTTGAAGAGAGATTCTGTATAATTTGTGGTAATGGACAGTGTTGTTCCCAGATTAGAACAAGACTGTAGGCTCCCTTTGAAGCCCTTATATTTCTTTCCAGGTTGATGCTCACCTATCACTGCAGTTGGCCCTCCAGATGCAGTGCACCTGTAATTCCATCACTCAGGGGGCAAATTCATGAGTACAAGGCCAGCTTGGGCTGACTTTGTTCTAGAAATACCAAAAAGGAAGGAGAGAGGGAAGGAGGGCAAGAAATATTGTAAAGGACAAATAAAATTTTATTTATGCTAAACAGTATGAAGTTCTTGTCATCATTACCTAAAGGATTCCATAGAACAACTCTGCATAGCATTTATTTACATTGTTTTAAGTGCTGTATTGAAAGATGACTCCAGTTATCTGGTAGAAGGGGGATAACTGTGAGCAGGTACTGTACCCCATTAGAAAAGGGACTTGAGGACTTTGGTATCTCTCGGGGGTCTTGGGACCGAGCCCATGGATACCAGTTTTCTTTTGTCAAATACTAGTTTGTGATTCAGTTAACAGGAATTGCGTAAGTTCAGAAGAGAGAACCTGGTGTATATGACTAGCTGAAGA